AGCTGGCTGCTGCCAGCAGTGGTCCCCTCGCCCTGCGGCACAACTCACCTGCAATCTGCTTCATGAAGGTCATGCAGACCCCATCTGCGCCCAGCACCCCGCTCTTCACCAGCTCCCGCAGCAGCCACACGAGCTGGGCAGAGGGAGAGATCACTGCAGCTTCCCCCCAGCACCCCCAGCGCCCTCCCCAGTGCTGTGGCTGCCACCTTCCCCTTCCCAAGGTGAGTCCTCACCACGGGGCAAAGCAGCTCCACTGGTGCCAACTGCCCCCCAAAGCCTGTGCTCATCCCCTGCTAGTTGGTGTGCAAGGGGCAGTTTGGGGAGAAGCCCTTCTCCTCACCTGGGTGCGACAGGTATCCTGCAGCTTCAAGTACTTCTCCATGAGGATGTGATTGATCTTGTTGAGGACAATGTTCATCCCATCTCGGCTCACCAGGGCCAAGTCCCGGTAGCACTGCAGCGGGGGAGAGCAGGACATGGTTATGGATGAGGGCCCACAACGGACAACATGAAGTGGCTTTATCAAAGCTGAGCAGGTAACTGCAAGGAAACGATCCTCAGGGAAAGGACAAGGAGGCAGCCCTGAACCAGCAGCCCTGGGCCAGGCAGGGAGAGCTGTTAATCCTCTGGGATGTTATAAATGGATTCACTGGATGCAGCCCCAGGAGCCAAAGGGCTACAGCACGAACAGCACTGGGTGTCCCTGTCCTCTGGAGAGCCCACCACCAGAGAGGAGACAGATCCTTCAGGAAGAAAGGGTTCATACACAGCTACATCCACATTGCTTCAGCGCCGCTGCTCCAGCCCCCCTGGCTCCAGGGACAGTGGGAATGCTCTGCTATGGGAAGAGGGAACTACCATGGGGAAAGGAAGGACTTTCTCCATGCTCATCTGCACCAGCGGCCAGAGAGAGCGCTGGCCAGGGAGCAAAGGTGCTGGCTCTGCCTTCCCCTCTGGGCAGGACAATGGGGTGGAGGGTGAGAGGAAGTCGTCTGCTAAGTGCTTCTGCATGAATGTTAATGTGTGCCAGTAAATGTCATGATATTCCAGAGAGCAGAGGTCTGGGCTCTGCAGCCTCCTCTGGAGAGATAATGAGGCGTCCGAAGGTGTCTTTGGTCAGACTCCCTGTGCTCAGGCTTTCTCCATCCCTTTTCCATACAGCACTGTGGAAAACCAGAGAGATATGGAGATACGTGTCTGTCACATCCCAAGCACGCACCAGAAGCCCAGAGGTGCAGACTCTGTGGGGCCTTCAATTGCTTCCGAAACGCTAAATGAACGCCCACAAACCGGAGCCAGACTCAAAGTCTCCACACGGACCTGGCCAGGAACACACAGCATCTCCCTCCCTTGGCAGCTCCGAGAGAAACCCAGACATCACTCCAATGGGAAAACGCAGGGATGAAGCCATTCCCCTTGGCCTGTCCCTGCATCCCTTGTCCAAAGCCCCTCTCCAGGTTTCCTGGAGCCCCTTTAGGCACTGGAGCTGCTCTAAGGTGTCCCCTTCAGGAGCCTTCTCTTCTCCAGCTGCCCCATTCCAGCTCTCCCAGCCTGGCTCCAGAGCAGAGTCCTTCTCCTCAGGCTGCTCCATCCCATCTCCCCCAGCCTGTGTTTGTGCTTTGGGACTGCCCCAACCCAGATGCAGGACCTGGCACCCTCACCCATCCTTCTAGCGGAGTACTGAGGTCCCAGCAGGAAGGAGCCCATCATCCTATAGGAACCATACCCAGGGAAGCTCAGCAGTTACTGCAGCTTCCTCACACCCCATAAGCAAACCCTGCAGAACACCAGAGCTCAACCAAGTCCCTGATCCTTGACCCAAAGCACCAGTGACCAGAGCAGAACAAGTCCCATTCCATCATGGT